GGGAGGAGGCCATGGGGAAGTAGCCCAGGGAGTTGTAGCTGTCGTGCAGCTGTACCAGGAGGCACTTCAGTCCACAGGGCCCTGGGCTGGAACCCAGAGTAGAGGGCGGGCCCGGGTTCCCCCCAAACCTCCCAACTCCTGATCAGACACAGAAGGAATTGACCTGGACTGTGGCTTCTACCAGAGGGGAAGGTCTCTGGGCTGTTACCCGACCAACATGGTGAATCTGAGGTGAGCAAATCCGCCAATAAGTGCAGGACCCACCAACATAAAGGAGGAACTTTGTCACAACTATTATCTGCTGGGTGCTTACGAATGGATTGTTTATTTGTTCCAGTATGTTTCCAAGTCTTGAAGTTAAGCTGACAGGTCTATATTTCCCCAGGTCCTCTTTGCTCCCCTTTTTTAAAGATGGGTACTGTGCTTGTTCTTCTCCAGCCCTCTGGGAACCACCTCATCCATCCTCCACTTATCTCAAAGATAAGTTGGGAAAGTCATTTAAATAGGATGGTCACATAGATTACACATTGAACTGCAGATTGCATATTCATCTGTAATAATCATATTTTGAATGACTTACAGGGGTTTTTTTTTCTGAAGAAAATTGTGAATATTTTAAAATTACCATTTCTTCAGACAATCTGGGCCCACTTCCAACCAACTGAAACCAATGGAAAGATTACCATTGACTCCAACTGGTGTTGAATCAAGCCCTGAGGGAAAAAAATATCATTATGGAATTCAAAGAAATTATTTGTTACCAATTATTCATTCATCTCTACCTATGATTTAGAGCTCAATCCCACTCAAAGCAAAATGAAGCATCTTCCACTGAATTCAATGGGAACTGAATCAAGCCCCCGCCTTTGAACTGTAAATCACTACTAGCTTAGATTAGACTATACTAATGGTCCCTATATCCAGAGGACAGTGAACAGATGCTCTTAGCTTTGCAGAGACTGGCTGTTGTCAGAGGGATTGCATTCTGGAGTGCAGTAAAGATCACACAACTACTCTGTGATTCTGACAACATGACTCACCCATTATTTCC